TCAATATTTAGACATAGTTTACAAATAAAGTTTGGCCGTTTATCTTTTTCTTCTAAACCAGCAGAAGAGTATTATGTCCAGTTGTGGCAATCACTTCAAGAAACCCAACTTTCAACACTAGTAGAGTAATTTTCCTGACAGAAGAGACATGAACTGTTTTATGAAAAACGATGCACTTTGAATAGAAAGAACTATGAGTTGACTTTTTAAACATAAAGGTTTTTTTTTGTCGCAACACTTTTCCAAAAAAAAAGTGATCTGCCGTGTTCTAATGCGCGATCTGCCAAATATTTCGGCAGATCATAATGCAACCGGCAGAGCAGTTTGGCAGAGCAGATCATTGTAATATTAATAACGGCAGAGCAAATTATCACAGACAGACAATCAGCCGTTTTCTATTTTGTGATCTGAAAAATTACATTTTAATAATGCGTGATCTGCCAAATAATATTTGAATAATGTGTGATCTGCCAAATAATATTTAGCAGATCACACATTAAAAAACGGCTGATTGGATAATCTGCTCTGCCGCTATCAACATTACAATGATCTGCTCTGCCAATCTGCTCTGCTCTGCAAATTGTACCCACCCGTTTTTTTTACATTTTACATTTGTTTACATAAAAAAACAATGGAAATGCGCCATTATTAATAAGTATTATGCCGAACAAATTAAAAAACGGAACAGATGTAATGAAAGTTTTATTTAAATAACTCAATAAAAATGAAATTCGGTAAAACTTAGGAATAAGCACTTTCTTAGCAAAAAATGATTTTTATATTAAAAGGAACAATATTTTATGCAGCCACTAGTAAAATTGATTGTTTGAAAAATTTATTTGGGACTGTGACCTGCCCAAATATATATATATATATATATATATATATATATATATATATATATATATATATATATATATATATAAATAATCAAACATTAATAATAGTAAAACTAAACTAGATTAATAAATTTTTAAATTTAAATAATCAAACATTAATAATAGTAAAACTAGATTGATAATTTATAATATAAAAAGATGATTTGTTTAGTTTCTCTTACAGCCAATATTTATAACTAATAAATTCAAAACTAAAAATTAGGATAAACTGGTATATAGAAAGAGAAATTGACTTTTTAATAAAATATCAAAAAACGCAGTTTGACTGTTTCTATAAATTTAAAGTAGTTTTTATTACTAAGTTTTAAATTTTATAAATCTTTTAAGCAAGTTTTGAAAAACAAAATAGTAGCTATAAATACTTTTAGAGAAATATTTTAAAATAAGCTTTCAAACTCATAACAGGTGAAATAAAATTCCGACATATAAGAAACAAATCAGAAAAAGTATTTATCAAATTTATAATTATTATATAAATACCTAAATAAAAAATATTTATTTTTCTCAAAAGAGAAATATTTAATAAAATTAAAACCAAATTTTTTTTATATTGAATAAAACAATTAACTTAAAAAATTTAGATAACTGAGATAACTGACCGCTAAAAAGTTTGGAGGGGCGAGTTTTTAGAAAATTAATTTTTACAGATTAGGGTTGTTTTGAAAAAAACAATTTAAAAAAATAAAATCTGTAAAAATTTGATAAAAATAACTGCACAAAAAGAGAAAATCTTTATCTAAAGAAAAAGATGTTATGAAGAGGGAGAATAGTTGTTTAAAATCGTTTTTTTTTAAAGATCTTATTTGATTAACTTCGTCATCAAATAAGATCTTATCTAAATTGTCATTAAATTTGAAAAGTATAATTGATTTAAATATTTATTTTCTTTGTAATGAAAAAATTAATCAAAAATTATTTTCTTGTAATTTAAGTAAATATTTCCTTGATTTAACTAGTTTTTAATTAACCATATTTGTATAAGTATGTTAAGTGGATTGTTATCTAACATAAAGTTAGGTTAAGTTTTGTAAAAGACAGAGTTTGATTTAGTGAAGTTAGATTGTGTGAATTGCCACAATGTGAAATCAAGCAAAGTTCATGATGAAAATTTAAAGTATAGGTGCTTACTCTGTCTTAAAAAATTATAGATAAAAAAGATAGCTTACTGCTTTTCAAGCAGATCAAATATGCCAACTGTATAAGACCAAGATCAGTATCTATGATTCTCAGGTAACACAAGAAATTTTTGAGTCGTTCAAAACTGCTTTGCGCACGAAGAAGTGGTAAAGCAGTTGCAATTTTTTTTGTTTGATTTTAAGTCAACACAAGTAGGACCTGTAACAAGAGGCACGGTGTATTTTTGCCTTATCTACCGAGTTGGTCGTTCAAAGCTGCAAGAAAAACATCCTCTAAAATAGCAAACCATCATTGAGTAAGAACCAAGTGCGCATTGCAACACATGTCTCAGCTCTTTAGGAAAAGATTTTCCCCACCAATTTTCTTAAACAAGTTTACGGAAAATCTTTAATATTTAGCAACAAAGATGCCAAAGCAGCCAAACTAATTACATTTAAAGTCATTTCCAATAAAGAAGTATCTCCGGAAGAAACTATTCAACTTGCTAAAGCAACCTGTGGGCCTCCATTTACAACTATTCCCGGTAAATATTTTTACTTTATATTTTCATATATATATTGAAAAAAAGTTTTGACTATTAAACAATGAGATTAGATAGATTTCAGGTCTTGACTATTAAACAATGAGATTAGATTTTAGAATATCTTGACAAGTTTCTAATCTTTTTTTTAAAAAAATAATTATTAAATTTCACACACTTTCTAAACAAAGTTTATTATAAACATAAACATGTATCCGTTTGTTTTAGGTCAAAGTAGTGCCAACCACCATTAACTACAGAAAAAGTGGTTCTGGTTAGAGTTGTTGCTCGCTGCAATGGTTTTTATAAATCATATCAATCTTGCAAAATTTCTGTTAAGAAATTGGCAAAGTTTGGCAAAGTGATGGTGGATAGTTTCTTAAGCTAGGAATTGATGCTTGCAAAAGTTACCCAAGGTTTTGTATAAGCATTGTCGATACTGCGTTAAGGAAAAAACCCAGCTTACCGTCACAACTGCAACCTCTCACTCAAAGGAATGGCAAAAATACTGGTGTCAAGAACCAAATTATTGTTGCGGTATGAAAAAATTGCCAGAAAAAAATTCCAATATTGAACAAATCTGGTCTCTGATTAATGCAAATGTTGGTTATTACAATTACCAAATCAACAGTAGAACGAGAAAATCAAAACCCAATTTTTATGACCAGAATTAATAGTTTGTTAATTAAAGACTCAAAAATCTTGCTTTTAGTTGGAAGAATAATGAGACAGTAGTTAGACGAGTCAGATTCCTCCTCAAAATTTTTGAAAATAGGGATAACAGATACTGCTTTCCAGCAAGCTGAAAAACATGACTCTGATAAGCAATTGTTAAATAGTTTTGAAAGTAAATAACGACAGCTCCGAAGAACACTTCTGCAAGACTATAACAGGTATGTTGTCCGGACCACAATCTGTAGAAGAGTCTAAACAGGAAATCACTTTAGATACAAAAGCTGGAGTGATACGAATGTCAAGCAATGGATCAACCTATTTGTCGGCTATATCAGGTAGGATGTGATTAGAGGAAACAACAGATGAGATTGATGAAAATTTGTTAGCAAACAAATCACCTTTATCTTTAGGTGAGGTGGAATTGGTCTCTCTGAGACCAATTCCATCAACAGCTACCACAGAATTTGGGAAACCAGACTACTAGAACCATACAGTTAGGTTTTATACCCTCAATTGGATATAATATAATGAGTTTTTAGTCATAAAAACAGAGACGCAAGCAAATCCCATGAAATGAGTTAAGGAGATCTAGCATTCAATATTCTAAACTGGAAACAATGTATTATAAATATATCTACGCCAGCCTAATAAATGAATAAGGGTGCAAAGGTTTTGCTCAACAAATAGAATCTGTTTACCCTTTAAACTTTTGTCTAGAAGGCTTTTTGCAAGACACTAGCCGACACTATGCATTTAACGTCTGGCAAATATGAATGATTTTATTGAGACACCGTCTCTAGCCTTTACTCAACCAAGAGCCCCATGGCAGAGAATATGTTAAGTCAGAGTTGGCATCTCCTAGCCTTTGCCTAAAAAAGCATATCCTACAAGGCAGCAAAACATGAAACAGGTTGTAGTGGGTTACATGTTAGCAGTAGCTGGATAACCTAATCTAACAATAAAAATATTGTATTTTAACTTTTTTTTGCAACTTTTTCAATATTACAAAACGTGTTTAAAAACTGGTTTAACTTTTTTGATGAGAGAAAAATTGAGAGCTTATTTTGCAATAGTAAAATGTTTATTTTTAAATTATTCAGAGAAAATCATGAGTTTTAAACTTTGTTGTTTGGTAAAAGTAGAAAAAACTGTACTGTAATTAGCATCTCTTGCTGTCAGTTTTACTAAAGGAATATCTAGCCCTGAACAATATCCGCAGAAGCGTTTTTTCTTAAACTAAATGTCTATTTGATGGTTTATCACTAAAATAAATATACTTTCACTAAAATGTTTTTTCAACTTTTTTTGTTAAACATAAATTAAATAATCTTGAAACTGAGCTAAAGCGAACCCACCCCCTCCCCACTTTTTGGCTGGCATCAGCTAAATTTATTTCATTATGTTTTGCTCATTTCCATAACAACAACATGAAAACTTTTCATGACTTAAGAAAATATTTTAGGTTGTTAAAAAAAAAAGAGATTGATAATATAATTCATAAAAACAGCGATAAAATTTTCTTAAATATGTACCTAAACTAATAATGCCTTTATTGCATTTTAATCTTAACGAACTGTTTTTATTTTCAAACAAATTCTGTTTTCTTCTATACCTTAAATAAGGCAAAAAGAGTGTCCATTGGCAAGAAAGAAAACAGAATAAGTTTTTTAAATAATTTGAGTAATACAAAAATACAAAAACTATCATTTATGCATAACTTACTGCATTTTAAAGGATTTTTATTAATCAAATAAAGTTTTATGTTATAGATTTACAACCAGGATGCGGTGCAAAAGGAATGACTAACACACGAATTGTTGGAGGAAAAAATGCAAAACCTGGTGATTGGCCTTGGCAAGTAAACATTGATTATCGGTTTAACACTGCCAATCCTGGGCACCTTTGTGGCGGAACTTTAATAAATCAAGAATGGGTGTTAAGTGCTGCCCACTGTTTTTATGAAGATCAAAACAAGGATAACTATAGGTTAAAATTAGGTAAAAGGATTTTTAAAAAATCAAAGTTAACTATTGATTAAAATCAATAACACATTTTTTATATCAGGTAAAACAAAGATAAACAAAGCTTAAAACTAGATAGGTTTTAAAATTCACGACTATTAAATTGAAAAATGTATTTTTTATTAAAAATAAACAAACTTCATACTATGCAGTTTGTTAATAAAAACACTGATGCTTTTGTCAGAAACCTTTACCATATGTTGACAATGTACGTGATAAATATAAACATTTTGAAAGTAAGACCAAAAGTGAAATACAGAAAATATGACCAAAGCATATTAATGTTGAATATAGGTCAAAATAAAACTTATCCCAAAGGACTAGTTTTTAAACATGATAAGACAATTAGAAAAGTGGTTTACACTTTATATTGCTCATGTTTTTTGTTTACTTTTAATATTTTTGGTTTAAATATTCTTTAATTCCCGCCGTACTATTGACAGCTCGGTCCTGATATATAATTTAACTTATACTTAAACATATTTTTATATTATATGTATTACATAAAGTGTTTCATAGATTAAAGAAATACGTCATTTTTTTTAATCTAAAAAATACTGAAAACACTTTTTATTTTGAAGATTATTTTTTGTTTTTTATTTCGTGGTTTGCAAAAATAAGGTTTAAAGTTTAGAGTTTTAGATTTCAAGTTTAGAAGTTTAGATTTCAATTTTGTTACTAATTCAATCAAACTACTGTTTCTGCAATTAGGCATAATAGAATTAAAACATTTGCTTTATAAAATTTCCGAAAATATGTTTGATGAAAAGCGTAATTTAAACAAGAATGTTGTAATTGCTTGTTGATCAAAATATCAAGAAATTTTTTTACAAATATTTATGTAGGCAAGTCAAAATAATTATGTAGGCAAGTCAAAAATTTATGTAGGCAGGTCAAAATATTTATGTAGGCAAGTCAAAATATTTATGTAGGCAAGTCAAAATGTTTATGTAGGCAAGTCAAAATAAATGTTGATCAAAAATAAAGAGGTATTACAAAATTGGCTATTAGATTTTTTTATAATTAGATTAGCATGAAAACAAATTACTAAAAACCTTAAAGAAATTTTAATAGCTTAAATTTTAAATTGCTGCTTAAGTTTACCCCTAGTGATTTGGCACGGTTTTTCTATTATTGGCAAATTGCCAGACCAACCCAGAACGCATGTAATAACCTATGACAGCAAAAAAATTGTTTTCTACTAATTACTTGTACGAAAACCAATGTTACTTATTATTAACATTAAATTTCATCTGATAAAGTTTATATACTGAAATTAATTAGACAGGTTCTTGAATAATAATAATTATTATTATTGCCATTATTAATTTAGTTATCTACAGAACTAAAGATTTTGGAAAGTATAGTTTTAGGTACTAAAGAAACTTAGGCATATTAAACATAATATTACTAAAGATACAAAACCTAAGCATATTAAACATGATATTAAACTTAAGCATTTTAAACATGATATTAAACGTGAAAAATTATCGTTAAAATTTTGTAGTTAAACAACATTGTCAATAAAGATCTGTCATTGCAGCATTAAAGAAATATCATATTAATTACTTCCCAATGCCTAAAAGTAAAATGCTATTAAATAGCTAGAAAATTATTTTTTAAAGTTTTTTATTCCTTGTGGATTTTATGAGTAATTTCGTAACCTGTATAATTTTTTAAGGAGAGAAAGAGGTACGGGGGTTACTTCCTTATCCATTAGTATTCGCTTTTGGTTGAAAGAAAAGATTTCTATCATTCCATGTAAACATCTTTTTGATGCTAAAAGAAATTTACGAAGTTATATACATTTTTGAAATAACCTAAAGGCAAAAAGTCCAATTTTTTTGTATATATTTTTGAAAAAGTAACCACAGTTACTTAACATAATATATTATTTTTTTATTTTATATGTAATTTTTGATTTTAACACATTGTTGCATGAATTTTCTTTTAGGTTATTCAAAATTTTTATCTATAAAGTTATAGTCTGAATTGGTTACCACCAAAAAGTTAAGTTATGTGTGGAATTCTACCAAGTCCCACACATAAATTTACTCTCTTTGTACTTTATAACATCAGGAAAAGCTATTCAAAACAGTTCTTGACAGCAGAAACTTCATACAAATTATTATCGCTAGAAACCAAATGAGTGAAACAATCACTTACAACCAATAAATTGTTAGCGACAGCTTTATGCTTAACTGTATGAAGTATGCCTTTGTAGAGGCATACTTCATACAGTTAAGTAAAATAAATTTATTTATTATATATACTAATTAAAAAAATTGTTTTAATTAGTATATATAACAAAAAAATTTAAGATAATGTGAGTTGTGATGATAATAATAATTATTATTTTTGTTATTTTTATTATTTTGATGTTGTTTTAAAATAATTACAGAATTATTGTTTTTTGGTTTATAATTAATTTTATTTGATTGATCTATATTTAAAAAAGCAATTATAACTTTGGTTAAAATATTAAGAGAAATTCTTTGGAATCAATGTTTGTAAAATTAAAAAAAAAAAATCCGAAATTCAGAATTGAACAACAGCTTAATTTTGAATGAGATTTTGATACTATAAACTAAAATAACTGTAACAATTAAAAACTGTAACAATTAATAGGTGTTTTCTCTAAAATAAGTTTATCAGGGGGACAGTGAATAATTTGTTTTATACATAAACAGTAAAACAAGATGGATGTTCAGTTTAAAAACAGTTAAGACACCAAGTTTTTTTTTTTTCAAATTAATCTACTTCATCTTACACTTTTAAAATGTTTTTGACAGGTGAGCATGATTTAAAAACAAATAGTGTTTGGGAACAAGTTTATGGTATAAAAGAGCTTATTCTCCATCCTCAGTACGAGCATATAGGATTTCATTATGACTTAGCACTATTAAGACTTAATTCAACAGCACGTTTAAACAGCCGTGTTCAAACAGCATGTTTAGCCGATGGAAATCTTACGTTTCCGGTGGGTACAGAGTGCTTCATTACAGGATGGGGATTGCTACAAGAGTATGGTACAGGACCTGCAGTATGTTTTATTGCTTAGTTGATTAATTTTAAGTGATTAATATTTTTTTAACATTTTTACATGCAAATTTATGTGCATTGTGTAAAGCTGCATAAGTATAGTGGTCTGCAACAATCTATTTAGACCATAGCTTATGTTTTTCTTTTGCTGTTATCTTGATCTCCTGCTATCTATTGTTTAACAATAAAACATGATAAAACATGAAGAAGCGTATTTACAAAGCGTTTAACATTTATTTATACGTTGTGTCTAGCGCAAACGGTACCGGTTGCTTTAATTTTTTATCTTAAAGTCACGGTAGTAAAGTTTGATTGGTTTATTTTAATTTACGGCTGCGAACATGATTGGTTGATTTCTAAAGAGAATCACAACTGTAGTTTATGCGTTTAGCATTGTGGTATCTCAACTTTAAATTACTCGCAGAGTCCCGGGATCGAGTCCTGTATTCTGAAAAATGCTTTTAAATGTTTTTTAACAATTTTTTTAAAGTTATTCTTATTGTTGCATATTGAAAGTTTCATTTATGTTTATTATTTACAAATATCGACTGATTTAGGGATAGACGCAGTGAGTATTAATGACATCTAAGTTTCTACGTTTATACTTTCTATCAGGTCGATGCATAAATATTTTCTATTTTTAAATAGTTTTTTTTGAATAGAACTGTTTCCTATTTGCATGGCAGACAGAATGTTACATGGGCAAAAAATTTACATTTCTTGGATGCAATCCAAGCATTGGTTATTGACAATTGATATTGATTAAAATGTTGTCTAAAATGTTGTGTAAAAAACACAAACACATGTTGTATAAAACACAGTTCGGGTTCAAAAAAAAGCATTCAACCAAACACGCAATAGTCGAGCTTGTAAACGAGATATCAGACGCTCTCAATAACGGATATTTTACTTTAGGAATTTTCATTGATCAGTCTAAAGCCTTTGATACAGTAAACCATGATATACTTCTAAGTAAACTTGAACACTATTGCATTAGAAATAAAAATTTACTTTGTTTTTAAGATTATTTAACAAACAGAAAACAATTCATGTGCTTCGATTCAAAAGAAACAGTTAAACGATTAATAATTTTGGGGTTCTAATCTAGAGCCATTGTTTCTGATCTTTATTTATCATCAACTCCTATAAATTTTATTCTATTTGCAGATGACTCTAATCTCTTTTATTCACACAAAGATATTAAAATACTTTTTAAACATGTTAATGAACAATTAGATAAAGTTAATGAGTGGTTAGTAACAAACTTTTTCTGAATGCTGATAAAACTAAATTCATTTTGTTCCAAAAATTGGATAAAATTGATAAAGTACCATTAAAATTACCAAACCTTACTATAAACAAAACTATAGTTAAAAGAGACTCATCGATAAACTTTTTAGACGAGAAATCGGACGAAAGTTTAAGATGGAATTTTTATATAAACAGTCTTGAAAAAAAGTTTTCTACAAATATAGGAATGATTTATAGAGCTAAGCGATTTCTTAAATCACTAAAAGGTTTATACTTTGCTTTTATCCAAAGTTACCTAACATACTGTTAAAAAGACTTTATAGTAAACAAAAACATGCATGTCGTATTATATTTGGAGCAAATAGTACAGAACCCTGTGAGTCTTTATTGTGTTTACTTAGAGCTTTGAATATTTATAAAATAAATTTACATGAAATTTTAGTTTTTATGTATAGAACTAAGCTAGGAATGTTTTAGTGAAATCTTCCATAAATATAGGTTTTCAGTAAACAACTATGCTGTCCCAAGATATAGTTTAAAATTGAGTTCATACTCAGTTAAGTATCGTGGGCCATATTTATGGAATTTATTTTCAGATATTACAAATAAAAAGAAAACCACTCTTGATTGATTTAAAAGAGAATTTAAACGGTTGTTCTTATTTATCGATCTCACCATGCTAGATTTTAAATCTTTCTTTTAAATAAAGTAAAGCTCTGATAAAAAATCTTTAAAAAAAAATTCTTTTAAAAGAATGTTATTATCACAACCCACCATAACAATGTTTATTAATGATATTACTCTTTCAATATAAGTTATATACTTGTAATAAAAAAAAGAGATAAATACATATATATATATATACATATATATATATATATATATATATATATATATATATATATATATATATATATATATATATATATATATATATATATATATATATATATATATATATATATATATATATATATATATATATATATATATATATATATATATATATATATATATATATATATATATATATATATATATATAAGGCCGGCGCGATAGGGGGGTATGTGTGTGTGTGTGGGGGGGTGTCACACCCCCCATCAATGATCTTTAGTCGGCAAACTAGACCCTTTAGACTAGTCGGCAAATGTCTACCCTTTCGATATAAGTTAGACAGTCGGCAAATGTTGTCATGGCAGTATAATCGCGCCGGCCCTGTATATATATATATATATATATATATATATATATATATATATATATATATATATATATATATATATATATATATATATATATATATATATATATATATATATATATATATATATATATTTATATATATATATATATATGTATGAATCTCTTTTTTTTTTATTTTTTTATTACAAGTATATAATCATTTTTTTGCAACTGCAGCTACCTTCTTTTTCTTTTTGCAACAGCAGATAATGTAAGCATTTAAGCAATTGCTAACTACTACTTTGTATATTTACAACAATATAATATGATATTTATAAATCACGATTTTATAAAAATGGGGCTCGCTGATAAGACAGAATTAAGTCTTCTTCTTGCTCCAACTATTATTTATTTTGTTGTATATATATATATATATATATATATATATATATATATATATATATGAAAATTGTATTTATTGTAAAAGCCGAAATAAACATTAAAAAAAATAAAAAAATAAAACTGTTTACTAAACTTAAAAAATTCATGACGATTTAGATTGTCATAAATTTTGTGGTTGATATGGATGGGGATAAAATATTGATGTTCAGTGCAGTAGCAAGCTTTGTTTTACGCTAAACATTTTTTGCACCTCAATCCCTAAGATCCTCTTTGGCTCTCAATCTTCAGAGATCCTCTTTGGCTCTGAATTTTTGACACAATTTTTTATCTCTTGCAATTAGATATTCTAAATTGCATATTCAAAGGCATCAATTGTTTTTGCTTTTGCAAAGGCAACTCTGGTTTTCACTATCAAAAATTTGCAATAAGGCTTAAATCTGGGAAGTTCGAAGGCTATACTATTATTTTAATATTAACGCTCCACAACCGTGCCATAACCGTTTTAGCAGAGTGACAGGGTGCCCCATTTTTTAAGGGTTGACTCATGCTTAATCAAGATTTCAATTTAATGCATTACCTATAGTTGAACTGGAAATAGAGTGCAATTTAGCAATATTTTGTTGTCTGTTATGACATTATTGGGTTTGCTTTTATTGCTCTTGTGAGTGCACTTTTAGCTGACTTCCGGACATTTATACTGGCCTAATGTTACTTGTTGAGTTTAATTATTAAAAAGTCGAGATAAAGCTTGATAGAATATTTCCAATTAGGGCGTTTTTAGATTTTTTTTTTTATTAATCTAAACAATCATAAAGCATTGTTACATAGATAATTTAACATAATGCATCGCTAGTTAAAAGTAATTTAAAAAAATAATAAATATTTGAAGTTTTTTTTAAATAAAAAAGGTCTTTCATTAAAGTTGCTAAACTTTTGCACTGAACCATCGAAAACTTTTGCACACCACTGAACCATTGAAAACTTTTGCACACCACTGAACCATCGAAAACTTTTGCACACCACTGAACCATCGAAAACTTTATGTTACTTATCGCAATCATTAGTAAAAACTCTAACATCCAATAATTACAAGCCAATATTATTACAGTAGTCAACTGGACTAATGAATTTGTTCAATGAGTTTTAATACAAGAAAAGAACACCATTAAAGTTGATTCTGAAATTTTGAATCTCACACAGTAGTTAAAAATTTTTTTTTAATGTTTTAGTTAGGGTAGTTAACTATTTCTAATTTTTCTTCATCTAAAGATGCTTCTTCTTGCTCCAGCCACTTCTACCCAAGTAGCAAACAATATTGGCGCAATATTGGGGCGATGTTGTCTACAATATTAGCGCAATTCTATAAACTATATGTCGCCAATATTGCAATGTGAACATTTTGCCAATAAAGGCCAATATTGGCGCTACAATATTGAACCAATACTGTAAAGCCAATATTGTCCAATATTGGCAAAATGTTTACAGTACAATATTGGCGCAATAATTTTTAAAATATTGCGCCAATATTGCACTGCACTCTCCAATGTTGTAAATAATATCGCGCCAATAATAGGGATATAATACTGGCCAATATTGGCGTAATATAGTTTACAATATTGGCGCAAAATTGGATATCTTGGCCAATATTTGCCACGATACCCAATATTGCGCCAATATTGCGCTAATATTGTTTGCTACTTGGGTATTAATTGCACAAATACTGTAATTATTTTTAAACGGAAAAATAAAAGCAAAATTTTAATTTATATAGTTCTCATGAAAACAGTGAAAAATTGCTTTACCGTGTGACCTTGTTTAAATTTCCATAAGGTTTTTTTCTATTCTTTGATCTTTGTAGCCCTAAAAACCCATCCTGTTGGCATAATGATTATTAATGTAATAGGGTCGTCCATAAAGTACGTTTTATTTCGCCACCCCTTCCCTTACCCCCCCCCCCCCCGCATTTTGCAATACGCTTTTTTGAATACCCTCTACCTCTCTAAATGTTCATACGCTTTTAACTTACCAACCCAACATTTTATAATTTTTTTTTTTATTTAGTATCTCCATACTTTTATAATTGACCTACTGCCTCCTTATCTCAGAAACCCCATTTGTAGACCCACTCTTCCTCTCGTACTTTATGGACGATCCCTTATCTAGTTC